AAATTTCACATTAATCATTCAATATTATCAACACTGAAATATGACCATAGTGCAATATTTTGATAGACATTATTTTTGGTGAAGTCCACCTCAACGTTTCTAATACAACACACCTGCTACGACATATCACCTTGATGTTTGGGAAATAAACATACATGCACACAATTTCTAAGAACGCCTTAAGAAAAAGAAATTTCTAGATAAAGCATGTATTCACAATGATTGTTTTCTGTAGAAGCTCACATACTTTACAATACAAAATGTTGAATGTGAACACCAGGGGAGTTTTTCTTTTTAACTCAGAACAGCTCAAAGCATAGAATTAGAACCAATTAGGAGCTCAACAAGACAGTACAGTCGATCAATAATATTCACTTGATGTCACTAACATGACAAATGCAACATTTAGTGACATGTATTTTTTTTTCTTGGATTTCCAAACTTGGGATTGTGTTTCGCTAACTACCCTCTTTTCCAATCTTGTTTTGTTTTTTTTCTATTCTGTGGCAAGTTAACTGTAAGTTCTTTCATTGCTACGATTTGAATAGCTCTGTCTAATCTGGCTTTATTTGATCCTTCTCTCCTTTGTAAGAACATAAAAATGATTCTTTCACACTTCTGGATAACTATATAGCTCATTATTGAAACTGCTCCTCTTTTCTTTGCTCTATTTAGAGACAACTTAGATAATATTGCTCATCCTCAGAGTCTTATCAATACCTGGTTTTCATCCCAGCTAGTAAGAAATATGTGGTAACTGAGAAGGTGAGTTTTCCCTTGCTCACTCATGCATGTTTCCAGGGAGAGTAAGAGATCAGCAAACCACTCAAAAGCACTGGGATCCCGGCAAATCCAGTAGAAATACACCTGTCGAGAGAAGATGAGAGAACGCATTTCATAATGTGCTGATAATCGCAGACTACTTTATCTCCATTAAATTATTGGAGCCCAAAGGGGCACTTCTGCAAAATAACATGCTTCTCTCTGCCAGTGAACAGTCACACTGTGATGTCTTTTTTAAAAAAAATTCACATCACGTTTGAAAAAGTACAGAGTGAATTCAGAGTCAGGAGCCTGTTGGCCAGGCTTTCTGGATGGAGATCAGTTCACCACATTTCTGGCTGTGCTTCTTCTGAACGAGGTTAATAATCATAACTAGCTGTGCTTTTCACTGCTCCCAAAGGGGGATAAGCTGTTAGGCCGGCCCCTTCATCTTTACTTATGACCTAAGCTGGGGATTTGAACTCTCTTCTCCAGAGACCCCAAAGGCTTGTGCATTAATCCATTCCACCAGCACTTGGCCTCGGGAGGGTGGAGATTATGGTAACTGCAGAGTCAGGCCACACAGGCCAGAAGTTTCCCCTCAGCCAGACATATCAGTGTCCAAGAAAGCTGGTGGGTGGTGGCTATGGTTGTGTGTCAACCACTGAAATAAAATTATGTCTAGGAACATTAAAAAAAAAAAAAACTCCCTGAGCTTAGCAAGCAGCTCAAACACGCTTTCCTGTGTGACAAAAAGTAGCTTGAGTTTGATAAAAATAAAGTCTGAGTGCTTGTGCTTTGAGTTTTAGATAATTGTCTTTAGAAGGAAACACATGAAGCAGATCGATTAATTCTGTTTTTTCTCACACTCCTACCCCCTGATGCCCTCTCGTTTCCTGCACCCCTTCCCCAAAGAGACACATCTTTACTGCTTAACAGGATTTACCAGGGGGCTGGTCCACCAGGAAATATCCCCTCCCGGAGTCAGCGTTCTCTCCCTCCCCTCCCCACTGCCAGCCTGCAAGCTTGCCATCATTAATGAAAGTTATAGGTGAGAGTTAATTAACCGATCAAATTCATGAGGAAAAAAAAATCACAGAGTGTATTTCAAGGCTAACCATCTTGTCTTTTCTCTCCAGGTTTGTGCAGGAATTTAAAATATTGTCAGGATGAGCAGAAGCTAGTGATGATAAAACATTTTCTTTTAAGAATTAGGGCTTACATATCTGTTAGACAGATGCTTCTTAGAAGGGGCATTTTGAATATTAATTCCAGGACAGATGATAAGCTAACTGTGTTAACCTCCTACCAATGTTTCCTTTAGGTGAGCGCCCCATGAACCCCCACAAATACAGTGATTGTGTTCTTCCTCTCAATTGTTGACTCAACAAATACGTATTAAATGCTTACTCTGTGTCAAGACTGTTCTCAGCTCTGGAACTAAAAGAGCAAACAAAAGAGACAAAAATTCCCTGTCCTCATGGAGTTTGCACTTTAAGAAGGGGAAGAAAGACAATACATTAACAGGTAAAATATAGAATATGTCAGTGGGTGATGCATGCTATGGGAAAACATAAGGCAGGCTGGAAATGCCTGCAAAGTGAGTCAGATGGTCAAGGAAAGGGGACATTTGAGCAGAGCTGTGGAGGACAAGGATGGCTCGGTGAGGAACTCTACAGATGGGGGTAGCAGGGAGTAAAGGGGCTCTGAGTGTGGCCTCTCAGAAAAGAGCCAGGAAGCTGGAATAGCTTGAGCTGAGTGAGGGTGGGAGAACCGTAAAAGAGGAGGCCCCAGGGGGAAACCAGGAGATGGATTGGGTTGCCGGAAAAGTCATGACGTATTTTTTCTGTTTTTTGTTGCAAAAATGCGTCATGACTTTTCCAACAACCCAATAGATGTGGGCTTTGGGATATTGTTGACTTTTACTCTTGAGTGAGATGCGAAGGTGCTGTAGGGCGTCGGCATTGTCAAGCAGGGGAGAGACGTGATCTGAGGGAGGACCATGATGGGAGGATCACCCTGGCTGCTGTGTTGTGTGTTTATGTGTATGTGTGTGTGTGTGTGTTTGGGGGTGGGGGTCAAGGCTAGGAGACTGGAGGGCAGAAGGCTGATTTGATCTTATGTTGGTAATGAATACTGCTATCTTCTTTCTTCCCACTTTGTGAGGTGCCTGATCTAAATTATTCTTTGAAAACCTTAGCCCTCCCTTTAGCTTGCTTTGCTCCCTGTGGAAATAGAAAGCCTGCGGGATTTAATGCCATTCTCACTTCTGCGTCTCTCCATCCTGCCCACTGTAGGTCGTTTTATCTAAGAGCATTAATGGCCGTGTTTGGTCTACAATAACCATTACTGATATATTTTCTATTATTTCCCCTTTTTAAAGCACATGCTCCATATACGCTCATATAGGAAAGACAAACCAAAACATCTGCTTTATAAAAAAACTTGCATATTTCAAATCCAGTCCCAATCATCCTTACTTGAAAAATGGCCCCATCTTAGCTTCCTCCACACACTGGGCCCTATCCTTTCAAATAGAAATCATTTCCGTCCTTACTTTCTTGTGGCTTAGCCATGGGTCAGCGTTCTTAGGGTTCACCAAGCCATTTCTACCTTTTGCTTCCTTGTAATGGCTTTGTGTGTCTTTCCCTCTGTGACTGACTTCTAGATGACACTGGGTAGCTTTTGTGCAAGAGGGAAAGCAGGAAGCTGAATAGACCCAGGAGAAGTGCTCAGGCAGGAAAAGAAGAAAAGAGACTTTGAAGAGAGGAAAAGGGTCTATTTACTTTGTCTCCCTTTCATCTTCCTGATGGTTAGGGCCACTCACAGGGAAGGCACAGAAGAATTCCACTCCTGTGTTTGAGCCAGTAAGATGGACCTGGCCAATGGTAGAACAAATATCCCAAACAAAAGACTACATCTCCACGATCTGTGCTTTCCAACACTCACCCCTTCCTAGTCTCCAAAAATAAAACAACCCATAGCAGTTACCCATGGAAAGCATGGCTTTCAGGATTCTGTAGCTGATACCAGAGGCCCAAAATATGTCAGGGTACTTTAAAAAGTTTTGTTGAACAGGAAGTCATCCTCAATAAAATGAGGAAAGTTCTGAGCTTCCATAGTAATGAAGTCATTTCTTTTGCAGGGCGCATTCCACACATTGCTGTAGATATGATGGCTCCCAGATGTTGTAGGTGACCCCTCCAGGAATGTGTGATGGGGTTAGGGGGTTCTGTGGGCGTGTGGCCTGTCACAGGCTTTCGCTGTCACATCATTCCCAGGCATGAACCACCAGACCAAGCTCAGCCAGGTCCAGTCTCAGAGGACCTGGTCAGAGTGACACTCGGCGCTGTGTCCCCCGCGAGCTTCCTCTCATCCCCTCTCTCCCACACCCTGGGCTTCTCTTTAAGAATCTGCAGCACTGCATGTGGACCAGGTTGAGGCTAACCGGAGCCAGCAGAAAACGGAGCTGTGCTACTTTTTGATAAACGATTCCAGAAAGTGAAATAAGAAAAGCTACTAATCTATTTTACTACCAGAGTTTACAGACGCTCCCATCAGAGGTTCCTGTGCTATAGCCTGGGTAGGCATCCATGAACACAAGCAGAGGACTCATCCATAAATACAAGTCGTATTTCTTTAGACCTAAAATCAATTTCCTAAGGATGGAATGGGTACAAACTTATTTACTTATCTATTTATTTATTTATGGCCCAAACCCCCTCCAAAGAAGGAAATGGTACATGAGAGCATATGTGTAGGGTGATGTGTGGCATAATATTAAACATTGTGTGGTCCTGAGTCCTGTAACCCATCCTAGGCCCCTGGCTTCACCATCGACAAGCTGTGTAACTGGCAGCTTATTTAACTTGAGCCTAGATTACCACATATGTAAAATGACAACAAACAAACACAGAATAACAACTTATGAGATTCTTGTGAAGATGAAAGGATATGGCTCATGGAAGCATTTAGCATAATGTCTAACAGACGCAGTAAGCACTCAGAGCTTATAGCTGCTATCCTCACTGTCATTTGGAAGAGCTTATAGAACAAACACCACATGTTTATATTAGAGAGCAAAGGGGGCCACTTGCTTTTCTTGGAGGTCTGTGTTCCTACTAGTCACTCCTGAATTATGGAGATGGTGGTCACTGAAACTGAGGTGGTCTCTGAAACTAAATTTTATCTCTAGCACCCATCTGAGAACCTCAGCATTGGTTACAAAGTCATCGTCCTGAAAGAGGGGCTCCTTCACTAGCAAAATGCACCCCAGGCTTCATGTGTGCTGAACCCACATGGAGGCGTTTTATAGGCTGCCAGGGTTGACCTCGACCTTGACCAACGCCTCCACCCACACTGGGGCTGCACTGTGATCTAGCCTCCTCCTGGACAGCACTTTCTGTTCCCTACAGGTACGGATTGAATATTTACGTCTTCCCCCAATTCATATGTACAAACCCAATGCGATGCTATTTGGAGGTGGGGACTGGGAAAGGAGTTTAGATTTAGAGGGGGTCAGGAGGGTGGGGCCTCCAGTAAAGGGATTAGTGTCCTTCTACGAAGAGGAAGAGATCAGAGTTCTCTCTCTCTCTCTGCCATGTGAGGACGCATGGGAAGGTGGCTGTCTGTAAGGCAGGAAGAGAGCCCTCACCAGAACCTGACTGTGCTAGCACCCTGACCTTGACCTCCAGCCTCCAACACTGTGAGAATAAATGCCTTTTGTTATAACAGCCTGAGCTGACTCAGACATCCAGACTGTATGAAATAACAGAACTGACAGAAGCTCTAAACCAACAGGGTGATGGAGACTTTCCATTGAGGGAATCATGGCCATTTTCCAAAAACAGAACTTTTCTCTCTGAAAAGATAAAGACTGTGACTGATATTTCACAAGCATAATATACCTCCTTAATAAATGGCAGCTATTATTATCCTTCTATTTAGTTGTTGTTACCAAGGTCAGCCTGAATGAATACAACAGCAAATACATTCTAAAGCAACTATTTCCTCTTATTGAGAAGCTTCCTTAATGTGGCGTCCATATCCAGTTTTAAAGAAATATAATTGCGACATTGTGTTTCTGGTTAACCATTATAAGATGG